ACACACACACACACACACACACACACACGCACGCACGCGCACGCACGCACGCACGCACGCACGCACGCACGCACGCACGCACGCACACACGCACACACACACACACACACGCACGCACGCACGCACGCACGCACGCACGCACGCACACGCACGCACGCACGCACGCACGCGCACCCACACACACACACACACACACACGCACAAGCACAAGCTCAAGCTCAAGCTCAAGCTCAAGCTCAAGCACAAGCACAAGCACAAGCACAAGCATAAGCATCAGCATAAGCACAAACACAAGCACAAGCACAAGCACAAGCGCAAGCGCAAACGCAAACGCCGCAAACACACACAGACACAGACACAGACACACACACACACAGACACACACACACAGAGACTCACGCACACACACACACACACACACACACACACGCGAACAAACAAAAACACAAACGCAATTTCACACACACAAACACACGCGCACACACATTCACACACATGTACACACACCTGTTTACAAGCGCGAAACGAGCCCCGTGGCCTGGAGGGGAGGACGCGGAGGCGGGGCAAGCCGAACGCACGCACACACACACACACATACACACACACACACACACACACGCACGCGCGCACACACACACATACACGCGAACAAACATAAACACAAACGCGAACACACACACACACACACACAAACACAAACACAAACACACATTTCCACACATTCACACATCTACACATACACACACACACACACACACACACACTCTTGCTTACAAGCGCGAAACGAGCCCCGTACGCGGAGGCGGGAAGGGAGGAGGGGACAAGGGGGCAATGGGGGGGCGGCACGCGCGCGAGCGCGACGCCGCGAATTCCCGAATTGAAATCCAGCGTTCCCGCAGAGCGGCGCGACACGCGGCTTCGGTGCGCGCCGCCGGGAGCAGCAGCAGCGCGGCTGCCCGCGGCGGGACGACAGGGGCCCGCCGGCTCAGGGGCGGCACGCGAGGCGCTCCCACCGCGGGGGCCCAGCAGCCGCAGCGAAGGCAGGCGACCCAGCCGAGCCCCCGCGAGGCCACGTGCGGCCGCCGCGCGGTCTGGGGCCGCGGTCTGGGGCCGCGTCGCGGCCGTGGCTCCCAGGGGGGGCCACGACGATGGCGGCCACGGCCGCGTCGTTGGCCACCCGGGGCCATCGCCCCCCTGGCCGCCGGCGCGCGCGGGGCGCCGTCCAGCGCCGCTGCGCCCGCGGGCCGCCGCGGCCGCCGCTGCCGCGATGGACTTCGAAGCCGCCAGCTCCACCTCGCCCAGCAACTTGGGCAGCACCTGCAGCGCGTGCGACTGGACCGCGCGCGCCTGCCTCAGGACCAGCGCAGGCAAGCGTGCCTCAGCCGCCCCCCCCCCCCCCGCCAGCCTGTCCGCCTCAGCGTTCCCGCGCCCGTCCTCTTCGGAAACGCTGCGCTCGGCCAGCTGCTGCGTCGAGGTGGCCCTTGACCCACCGCGCGACGGCGAAGCCCGTCCAGCAGTTGGGTTCCAGGAGGTCCCACAAGTCTGCGCGCGACAAGTAACGCGGCGAGACGCAGTCGCGGAGGGCCAACATGATACGTACCCATCGGTCGTTGAAAGTAGGTATTTGTGGGCTCCGAAATTCCAGTCTACTTGAAGCGCCTTCCTACTTCGATGATTGAGTGGCTTCACCTTTTCCGTCCTCCTCAGGGGGCGGACGGAACTCAATCTATGTGCAACGCCCTCCTACTTCGTGTTTCTACCCACTTCTTCCGACCGATGGGTAATGCGAGTCCAGGGTGACCTCCACGGGGGGATGCCGCCAGGCTGTCCGCGCTCGGAGCCGCGGCCAACTCTGCTCCTCGCTGCGCCGCCTGCGCACCGCCGACTGCCCCCACCGTGTGCCTCTGGGGGCGCGCCGGGCCTTTCCAGGCGCAGGCTCCGGCAAGCGCGCGCCAGGCACACACACACACACACACACACACACACACACACACACACACACACACACACACACACACACACACACACACACACACACACACACACACACACATTTTTTGGCTGTCGCGGCCTCGCGCGCAGCGACGAGGCGGATCAAATCGAACACACGCACACACGCACACACGCACACACACACACACAGACACGCCCACGCAGACACACACACACACACATACACACATACACACAAGCAAACACACACACACACACACATACACACACGCACACACATACTTTTTGGCGGAAGCGGCCTCGCTCGGCGACAAGGCGGAGTCAGTAAGAGTACTATGCGTGGGGTCGCGGCCAGGCCCTCTTGAATCGCTCGGGATCCCGCAGCACCTGCCGCCACACAGCAATACACACACATACAACTTTGAGCGTCAGCGGGGCGGCGACTCCCCCGCCCGTTCAAAAATACCCGCGGCCGCGCGAGCGGCGGCTTGCAAGGAAGGAGCCGGGCCCTACGGGGATGTGGCGAGGCAGCCGGCCGCGGGACACCGGCAGGCAAGGGGTGGCGGCGGGCGGGGCGGCGGGGGGGCGGGCGCCAGGGGGCGCGGCTGCGGGGCAGCAGGGGCGGGGGCAGAGGACGGCCTGGGCGGCGCGTCGAGGTAGGCGCGGGGCCCACCAAAGTTGGGCGGGCGCGGAGAAGCGCCCGAGGCGGGACGCCAGGGACGAGGGAGGCGGAGAGCGGCGAGGGCGGCCGGGGGCGGCAGGGCGAGGCAGAGAAAAGCGAGACCCACGCAGCACCACCGCGCGGCAGGACCACGGCGAGGCGAGCGGGGGGGGGAAGGGGCGGACGGCGACTGGCGAGTGCCGCCGCAACGAGGCAGCGAGGGGGTGCGGCGGCGATCCAAAAAGAAAGGCACACGTGTTTTAACCTCCGGCGCGGTCGGCAGGTGGAGGTGCCAATCGCGAACGAAATTAGTCGAACGCGCAATGATGAAACAGCCCAGTCACGGCAGTGCAGATCGGTGTTGAAAAGCAGGCGCGAGGCGTTGTAAAGTCAAAGCGCAGCGGCCAACCAAACGAGGATCAAATCGACTCATATAAGTTGACGCGCCAGCAGCAGTGGTGCGAATTAGCCACACACGCACGCGCGCACAGTATCTTAACGTCTGCGGGCCACTGATGCTCTCAACTGGCTGGTAATGAAGCAATGCCCACTGCTAAACGCATGAAGGAGGTGCTAAGCCGGACCACTGCCAGCACGGTGCAGCCAAGGCCCTACGCACATATGCAAGCGAGCCCGCGCGCGTGCGCACCGTGGCTTGGCTGGCGGCCGCTGCTATCCGGGCGTGCTTGTCTCGTTGCCTCGAGGTTTCGGCAATCGGGCGTGTCGAAGCGCGCGCGTCGCTTCGTGCGCGCCCACCATATATAAGAGTGCGTGCGCCGTGGGGCTCCTCCAGAGTGACAGCTTCAGCCCCAGCCTAACTGCGCAAGCGCGCTCTCGAACCACGGCTTAAAGCGCCAAAGCGGCTACCCGCGCGATGCCGCTCCACTCCCCTCCCTTCCCAACTTTTCAATATGTTGGATGAGCTCTCTGCCCCCTTTGGCCCTTTCCCCCCTCCGCCCCCTCTTGTTTGTTTTCCCCGTGTCTTCTCCCCCCGACCGCGGTGTACGTATGCACCGCGGTCGGGGTCGGGGAGGATGATGGGGGAAACAGGCAAATAGGGGGGAGGGGAAACGGGGGAACCAGGCAGGAAGGAGGTAGGGGGAGGAGAAACGAAACGTGACCCAACCCTCCGAACCCAGGCCAGGGCGGGAAAACATCATCCTCATTCTCATCATTCCCTCCTCCTCCTCCTCATCCTCCTCCTCCTCCTCCTCCACTCCTCCTCCTCCCCTGGCGGATGTGGGCTCAATGGCAGCTTGCTTAGACTACCTTGACCGACCTCTACTCCCCGGTTTCGAGAGCACCCCTTGGGCGAGATATTTCGGAGATGGGGGGATCTTTTGGAAACAGGGAGGATTTTCCAGAAACGGGGGGGGAAAGGGTGGGGATGTTCCACAAACGGTATGGGGGGATCTTCCCGAAATTGGGGAGGGGCGATCTTCCAGGGGATTGTCCAGAAAAACCTAGTGTGATTTTCCGGAAGCCAGGTTGGATCGTTTGGAAACTGCGGGGATGTTCCGGAAATGGAGGGGGGGGATTATCCAGAAAAGGAAAGGGATGTTTCCGGAAGCAGGGACGATCCTCCAGATACATGGGGGTCGTTTCGCAAAAGCACGAAGGGACCTCCAGGAAACATAGAGGGAACAGTGACCACGATTTCTGAACAGGCGCCTGGGGGAGTAGGGAACGCGACCACGACTTCTGAACAGGCGCCTGGGTGGGGGGGGGTGAACGTGACCACGATCTTCTTAGCAGCCTCCCGGGGGGGGGGGAAACGTGACCACGCCCCCTGAGCGGGCGCCTGCGGAGGGGAGGGAAGCGTGACCACGACTTCTGAGCAGTCGGAAAGGGGAGGGGGGAACCGTGACCACGCTCTCTGAGCAGTCACCGGTGGTGGGGGGGAAGGTGGAGGACACTGGAGCGGACGGGGGGGGGGGAAACTCAAGCGGATAGGGTTGGGGAACAGTTTGGGACCCCCCTCTACATAGTAAGGGGTGATTCTCCCATTTATATGTTGTGTGCATGCCTCTGCTTTCAGCTTTTATTTCTTCCTATCACGCTCTCTCCCTCGCTCTCGCTCTCGTTCGCTCCCTTTTCTGTTGTCATTGATTATCTCTGTCTCTCTCTCTCTCTCTGTCTCTCTCTCTCTCTCTCTTTCTCTCTCTATATGTAGATATAGTTGTGTCTCTTCTCCTCTGTCTGTCCTATTTACCTCCCGCTTTATCTTCATGTCTCTCTCACTCTCTCTCTCTCTCTATATATATATGTGTCATTATGTTTTTCTCCATCTCTCTCTCTCTCGTACTCTCCTTCTCCCTCTCCCTTTATCCGTCCGTCATCCGTCCCGCCTTCTCGGAATTCTGAATCCTTTTGTTCCTGTCTGAAGACGTGGGTGGTTTGTATCATTCTTATGATCTCTCTCATGCCCGTCATCAGCATTCCTGTTACAAGGGCTGTATATTAGGGTCGGCGCCGACGATGACGGCGCCACAGCCATGAAGCGCTATGGACATCGCAAGTAAAACAGTCTCGCGGAAGGCTCGTGCATGTTTAGGTGCTCGTCTCCGCCAAAGTAGTGGTTAGGCTAGCCAGTGCGATGTCATGGCGTGTTTCTTTTGTCACTAGGGGAGGGCCGACCGCACCCCAGAGCGCACCCCGGAGGGGGGGGGGCCACGGGTTCCATCGCGAAGCGCCCAGAGGAAGGTTCTTGGCGCATACTGAGGCTGAACCCGTGGCCCCTGCAACCCTTTATTGGGGATACGTCGCCGTTGGGGGACGTTTAGGCCCTCCCAGTTTTCAGGACAACTATTTACATGTGTAAACCCGCGATGTCGCCTTCTGCGCATCCTTGCTAGCAGCGTCCAGCATTCTTGGTCCGAGCGAGGGGCTTCATAATGACCCGTTGTGTGCTCCACGGTCTCGCCGATAGCATTGCAGGGTATTTCTTGGGCCGTCTTGGGGTCATCTTTGGGACTTGGGGCCGACTTCGGCTGCCGGAAGCCCGCAAAAGATGAGAATGCGAAAACCGTTGAAACAGTAAGCATTCGTGGTTTTGGACTCTCGGGACCCTTCAGGAACGAATCTTGGAGGCCTCCTGGGCAGTGTTGAGGGCGTCTTGGGGCCATCTTGGAGATATGTTGAGTTGAGCCGTCTTGGAGGCATGTTTGGCCATCTCGAGTCCATCTTGGACGGGAAAGCCGTCGGGAGACACATTTTCAGCGTGGCCGGCAGCATCGTCCGAGGCTCACATCGGAACCTCTGGAAGTGCCAACATGTACATACATCCAGCATGCCATGCACCCCACTGCAAGCCGCCATCAAAGGGGGCGGACGCCTACGGCGAATCACCGCCGCCCCCTGCCTTGTGGAAGCGCCTATGTGGCCGAACGTTACGGCCACAGCTCGGCAAAATCATCGTACTACGCGTTCCCCCATCCGTTGTGAAAATCCTTAGTGGAGCACGTGGGGGCGAAAGAAGAATAGGAGGTGACGAAAAATGATGATGAGGAGCAGGCCTCTTTGGAGCCTCTTGGGGCACTCTTTGGCCCCCTGGGAGCTTCCTGGGGGCTTCTTGGAGGCCTCTTGGGGGGCTTCCTTGGGCCCCTTGGAGGCTCTTCGGCTATCTGAGGACGTTGCTGGCCCGTCTGACGCCGCCAGAAACCGTCTCGGGGGCCTTTCTGGGCCGACTTGGAGCCCTTTGGGGGCGCTTCCGGGCCACCTTGGAGGCCATCTTGGGCGTCTCGGCGGCCTCTTGGTTGGGCGCTCGTTGGGGCCATCTTGGTGGCCTCTGGGGCCGTCTGGCGCCTTCAGGCCACCGCCAAATTTGTTTGAAAGCCACAGGACACTTGATGACTTGGGTATCTCCGGTTCTTCCAGGAGGTCCTCTTGGAGGCCGTCTCGGAGGCCTCTTGGGCCGTCTTGGGCCATCTTGGGGCCACCTTGGAGCCATCCTGGGGGCGTCTCGGCCCATCTTGAAGACATGTTGGGGCCATCTTTGGTCCTCTTGAGGCCATCGTAGCCATCTTGGAGACCGTCTTGGCCGTCTTGGATGCCATCTTGTGGCCGTCTGGAGCGGGAAGACCGGTAATCTGGGAAGTTTACGGACCCTCATGGGAAGAGTGAACCGGCGGGGGGGATCTTTTATGGGTCTTTCTGGGTGGCCCTCGCGATCGGCCGAAGGCCCACTGGCAGCCATTGAGAAAGACAAACACGCACGCCGCGCACACCTGTGGCAAGCACACGGGGTGGCGGATTGAAGACGCCTACGGCGAATCACCGCCGCCCCCTGCCTTTGTGGAAGCGCCTATGTGGCCGAACGTGAGGCCAGACCTGCCAAGCCATCGGACCATGTGTTCCCCGAATCGGTTTGGAAAACCTTCGGGGAACACGTGGGCGTCTTGAAGGTCATCTTGGCCGTCTTGGAGGCTTCCTGGGCGATCTTTCGGCGATCTTTGGGGGCTCTTGGGCCGTCTCGGGCCGTCGGAAGGCCGACAAGAAGGAAATGTCAAAATCCGTCAAAAACCTAAGGAAAATCAATGTTGTTGGCCTCTTCTGGCCTTCCTGGAGGCCCTCTTGGGGGCCTCTTGGGCCCGTTTGGGCCAGCTTCGAGCCAACTTCGGCCATCTTGGTGGGTTCCTGGCACGTCTGACGCCGTCGGGAGCCGTTTTGGGGGCCTTTCTGGGTCAACGGGTGACCCTCTTGGGGCGCTTCCAGGCCGTCTTGGAGGCCATCTTGGGCGTCTTGGAGGCCATCTTGAGCGTGTTGGAGGCCTCTTGGGCCGTCTTGGGGCCCTCTTGGGGCCATCTTGGAGGCCACTTGGGCCGTCATGGGGCCCTCTTGGGGGCCTCTTGGGCGATCTTGGGGGCCTCTTGGGCCGTCTTGAGCCGTCGGAATGCCGAGAAGAAGCAAATTCCCAAATCCTTCAAAAACCTAAGGAAAATCAATGATTTTGGCCTCTTCAGGCCCTCCTGGAGGACCTCTTGGAGGCCTCTTGGGCCGTCTGGGAGGCCTCTGGGGGGCCGTCTTGGGCCGTCTTGGACTCTCTTGGGCAGTCTTGGAGGCCGTCTTGGACCATCTTGGGCGGACTTGGAGGCCATCTTGGACCATCTTGGAGGCCCCCTTGGGCCATCTTGGCCATCTTGGAGCCATCTTGGATGATTTTTTTCCGGAGTTAGCACCTTTCCGGGTGGCTGGCGGGACGGGCCGGAGCCCCAGGGGAGTTCTTTTTTTGGAAAAAGAACCAAAACCAAAACCGAGAGGATCTAGCACGCCAGGCACCCTTGCGATGAATCGACAGGGGGCGGCGGACCTAGTGGGTTTTGGCCCATCCCGCCACCGTTCCTGGATTGTGGGCCAGAGTCCTCTGGAATGCCTCTTCGGGTCTCTTGGAATGCCTCTCGGCGGCCTCTTCGAGGCCTCTTGGGCGCATCTTTGGGGCCTCCTGTGGGCTTCCTTGGACCTGCAGACCTCCTTGGGCCCCCAGATGCTTCGGGAATCGCGTGAGGGCCTCATGGCGGTCTCGGGGCCATCCTGGCTCTGGAGGGCTCCCGCAGCCAGTTCGTTTCCGCCCCTCCATGGCCGAAAACATTGAAAAGCTCCAAGCTGCTGTTTCATAATATTTCTTGGAAAGTCACGGGACGATCCTGGACATAACGCCCAACGTTGCGCACGAGCATGTGCAATTGCGTTCAGTGAAGGCGTCGGTTTCTATTTGCGTCGCCGTTGTTGCCAATGCATGCGGCCTCTTCCCGCACTACTACTCACAGCCATCCGTCCGACGTCGTGTATCCGCAGTGCGCGGCCCCCGGGCCTCTCGACACCCTCCAGAGAACTGCTCTTTCGTCCCAGATCGTGCTCTGACGGTCCTGGAGCCCGACGCGTTCCTGTGCCGAACCCCGGGGAAGGCGCCGGCGGCACTGGAAGAATTGCAGGGTTCAGCCGGAGGGCTGGGTCGCGCACCCCAAGCGCCCGCGACAAGGTGTGTTCGAGTTTCCGTTGTCGAGCACGCCTCCAGTGATCACGTCTGGGTGCAAGCGCAAGAGCAGCCCCAGAGGAGGACGATGGAGAGGGATGCGGAGGGGAGGAGGAGGACGACGACGGCGATGAGGTGGAAGAGGGGGAAGCGGAGGAGGTCGATGAGGAGGAGCTCGACGATGCGGTGGAGGAGGAGCGGCATCGGCAGCAAAGGGAGGCACGGAGCAGGGTCAGATGGTTGGGAGATGGTTGTGGTGGGCCGCACACCCTCTCTCCCACCTCCCTCCCTCTCTCCGCACTCGGCGCCCTCCCTTCCCCCTCCGCTCTCTGCCCTCCCTTCCCTCGTTCCCTGCCTCGTCCTTTCTTTCCTTCCGTCCCTTTCCTCCCTGCCGCCCGTCACTCCTTCCTTGCTGCCCACCCCTCCCAGGAGTCCTCCCCTCCCTCCTGTAGAGCCAATATTCACGAAGAGGTCGACAGTGGCGAATATACGTTCGCCGTGAATGCTTACAGTAACTGTGTCAGTTGATACGCCGCACTTGAAGGGCCCTCGAAATGGTTCAGGCTAAACGTTTTGCGCGCATGCTGCTGGTGCGCAATGCTACAGTAATTACACTGCTGCTGGCTCGCTTGCTTGCGAACCGCACTGTTACCGCATAATATAGCTTCTCCCAACCATCCTATGGTGTTGCGTCCTCGTTTTGAAGAGAGAGCGCCCCGCTTGGGTCACTCCTCTTTCCTCCCGCTCCTCCCTCCTCCCATCCGTTCCTGTGCCTTTCGCATGGACATTCCGGTACATCCCTCATACGTTTCATTGCACCATTGGGAGCTCCGCCGAAGGCCCTGGTGGCACCGCCCCTCTAGGGAACTCCAATCAAGAGTGGCGCCGTCCACATGCGGATCTCGCCACATCTCGTCACACCCTTCACGCGTTTCGTGGCCTCAAAGGGAGCTCCACCGAAGGGCCCAGTGGCACCGTCCACACGTGGACCCCTCGGCACACCACACCCCTCACACGTTTTGTGGCCCCCTAGAAAGCTCCACCGAATGCCCCGGAGGCACCGTCCAACATGCGGACCGCCGTCCATTCCGGCACACCCGTCACACGTTTCGTGGCTTCGTAGGGAGTTCCACCGATGGCCATAGTGTGGCACGGTTCACCCGCGAATCCCGAACCACGTCGGGACATCCTTCGCATTCTTCGTGGCCCCCAAAGGGAGCTCCACCGACGGGCCCAGTGGCACCGTCCACACGCGGACCTCCGCCCATTGCGGCACATCCCATCACATGATTGTGGCCCCACATGATCTCAACCAAGTGCCCCAGTGGCACCGTCCACATGCGGACCCCCGCCCATTCCAACGCCCGTCACACGCTTCGTGGCCTCATAGGGAACTGAACTGAAGGCAATAGTGTGGCACGGTTCACATGCGGACAACCCGCCCATGTCAGCACACCTTTCACACGCGTCGTGGCCCCATAGGGAGCTCCACCGAAGGCTCTAGTGGCACCATCCACATACGGCCGCACATGCCAACTTCGGCACAGCCCTTACACGTTATGTGGCCCCACAAGAAGCGTCACCAAAGGACTCAGGGGCACCGTCCGCATGCGACCGACTCGTCTCCACCGACGGCCCAAGCACCGTCCACATGCCGCCGCCTCACTAATGTGGGCACACCCCTCGCACGTTTTGTAACCCCATGAGGAGCTCCCTGAAGATACGCGCAACTGCGTTACTCGCAACTGCGTATGGTTGAGTCGCGCGCCAGGCGAAAGTTTCTATTGCAGTACAGCGTTAAGTAGTTCAGTTTTCTTTGGTTTAGCGCGTGTTGTAGGCAGTTGCAGGAATAGGGTGCACGGCATTCCAGTCTGCGAGAACAAGTTAGAAAGGACTTGTGCAAGTTTCATACGATGGCATTTGCGTGCACAACACCTCCAAGGCAGCCCCATGCAGTCACATAGGGGCTGCACACACGCCGAGTCGACGTGAGCCAACACGTGACCTAAATTTCAGCGACGTTTGGCGCGCTTGTGCGGTGGCCCCTCCGTGCTCGAGCCATCTTGAGACTTTCCGACCCCGAATTCAGTATTCCAATGCGTGATTGTCAGATGAGTCCCAACATCCTCACACATAGTAAGTTACCATAGTAAGTTACACACCAGGTGAGTCCCGATGGTGGTCTCAAAGGGTTGAGAAGTGCCCCGAAACCCTCGGCGCCGAGCACATCCACGAGCCTCACGAGAACCTCGAAGAGCCATGACACCCTCGGCGCCGAGCACATCCACGCGTTTCACAAGGTCTCAGAGTGACACGACACCCTTGTCGGCGTCGACCAAGCACGGCGCGACACGGCACCGCACATTTCTCACAGTGTGACAACCAAGCACGGCACAGCACGGCCCATTTCTTCGCATTCTGAAGACCAGATGCGGCACGGCACGTCAAGGCACGCTTGCAGCATATGTGTCGTTTGTGCGTCGAAGAACAATGTTTCTTAATACACCTGACACCCCTAATGCACCGACTGGCTCGCAGCACACAAACATGGAGTCGTGTAGGATTTGGGATGTCAGAGGCAGACAGTACCACAGGAATATTGTTGAAGGTGCCGCAAATAATGCGGGCCCGACGCGAGCGCGGAATCCAGTTCCACGCATCTCTTCTCGGAATTGTAAGGGTTGTTGAAGTTTTGTTGCGTAAGAGTAGATATTCAAGATATCTTAAGGGCTTCGCCCTCTGCCGCCGGCCCCCTTATTACTAGTGCGGGCGGCTGCGCGGGGATCTCCTTGGGGCCTCTTGGGGGTCTCATTGAGGCCTCTTTGGGGCCACTTGGGGGTCTCCTCGGGGCCTCTTGGGGGTCTCCTTGGGACCTCTTGGAAGCAATATTCTGGGTCTCTTGGGGGTCTCCTTGGGGCCTCTTGGGGGCCTCTTGGAGCCTCTTGGGGGTCTCCTTGGGGCCTCCTGGGGCCCTCTCGGGACCAAAAGGTCGACTTTTCGGTCCGTGGACTCCCTCTTGGGCCTCTCTTAGGACCGTCTTAGGACCCTTTTGGGCCGTCTGGGGCGCCTCTTATACCGTCTTAGGGCCCTCTTCGGCCGTCTTGGGACTGTCTTGGGGGCCTGTTGGGCCGTCATGGTGGCTTCCAGGGCCGTTTTGGGGCGATCTTGGGAACCTCTTGGTCCGTCTCAGGGCTTCGGAAAGCCGAAAAGGCGAGAAGGCCAAAACCTTCAAAAACGTTGGGAAAATCTGTGATTATTGCTTCGTGTGGCCCTCTTGGGAGCCTCTTGGAGGTCTTCTGGGCCGTCTTGGAAGCATCTTGGGACATCTTGGGGCCATCGTGGGACATCTTGGGGCCATCTTGGGCCGTTCAGGCCGCGCGGTGGCGTCACCATGAGAATCTTGGGGTGGCCTGGAGCAGCCTGGATTTGAGGTTCACCACCTCGTTGGCTGTTTGGTGACGCGGCGGGGCCCCTTAGCAGACAGTAAACAGGAGGCAGGAAACAGGATTGGAGAGACAAAAGGCCAAACAATAAATGACAACACACAACACATGACAGCAAACCGCACACACCTTCGCAGCCTTGCGCCCCCGGAGAGGGCCGGCGGATATTGCCAGTATTATGTGTTCAGGTACAGAGGACTTTGAGTGAGGATTGCTGGAGTTAGAGGTACGACAGTGAGTTAGAGAGGGAGATGACTCTGACTTGCCAGGGTTAGAAAGGGTTCTCTTCTCTGGCAGGCTTCGAGGGCGCCATGCCAGCAGCTTCAGAGTGCATGATTCCTCTCCCTTGCCCCTCGCGGGTGGCCGGCAGGCCAAGAAGAAAAACGCCAAGAAGAAAGGCCTTCAAGGCGGCAAGGCCCGCCCAGTTGCCCGGTTCTCCGTCCCCGTCTCCTCTCTTTTTCTACACTACTAC